GGCGGTCCCGGGGAGCTGGTTAGGATGGGGACCTCGCATTGACAAACCATCAGCTTCCTGCTCTCCCCGCGTAGGCCACCCCCCCAACCCCACACCCCTCTAACCACCATTCCCTCTGCATCCCCAGGTGAGCTGCTGGGCACCCCGATGGGCGGCGGGGCCGTGGATTACTCCTTTTTGGGCAGCCAGCCCTCCCCTTCGCTCAGCTACACCGGCAGCTTCTTCATCAAAGCGGTACCGGAGCATCCCCAGGACCAGGAATCCCTCTTCAACCTGATGTCAGGGATCCTGGGCATCTCCCCTTTCTCCTCCTCCGAGGGTCACCAAAGGCACCTGGATGCTCTTTACCCCTGTCCCGAGGTGGCTCAGGGCCAGCTGGACCTTTATGCTGCCTGCCAGCCTGAAATGAACGGATCCGTCCAAGCTCCCTTCCCAGAGCAGGGCTACGGCGTCTTCCCCACCGCGGAGGGTGCGCAGCCCCTGCAGGCACAGCCCACCTTAGGAAACACCTCGCAGTGCTTCTTCCAGCCCAAGCTCCTGGACAACAAGCAGGACATCAAGCTGCCTTCTGGTTCCCCACCCCTGGACAAGTTCAAAGTCTCCTGTGCCCAGTGGGAACCCATCACCCAGCATCAGGCCTACTTGCCTGCTGGCTACCATTCTCCGGAAGCCTTCCCAGCCGGGGAGAGCAGCCAGGGGCTGTTCCACCCGCTCGGCTCCAAGATGGAGAACGTCTTGTCCGTCAGCTGCCAGTCGGAGCTCGGCAGCCTGGCAGAGGATGCTGCCTGCTTCGGCACCCATCTGGGCTTCGGCTGCGAGCCAGAAAACTTCCCGACCCACGGGGACTTTGCCAACACCAAAATCCACAACCTCCCCCCTCCCTTAATGCCGGAGTTTGACACCTCCTTGGCCCAGTCTGAGGTCCTACCAGGTCTGATGAGCTCTGCCGAGCTCCTCCATCCTCATCCCTCACCCTCTGTCCCCCCCACGGACTTTTTGGGCCACCCCACTGCTTCCTCCATCCCTTCCCTGCTGCCCACCAACCCTCCTGCCTTGGCCGAACCCAAGAAGAAGACCCGCCGGACCAAGTGCTCTTCCAAATGCTTCTGCCCAAAACCCCATGAGAAGGCTTTCACCTGCCCGGTGGAGAACTGCATCCGGAGCTTCGCCCGCTCGGATGAGCTCAACAGGCACCTCCGCATCCACACGGGCCACAAACCCTTCCAGTGCCGCATCTGCCTGAGGAACTTCAGCCGCAGCGACCACCTCACCACCCACATCCGCACCCACACCGGCGAGAAGCCCTTCTCCTGCGACACCTGCGGCCGCCGCTTCGCCCGGAGCGATGAGAAAAAGCGTCACAGCAAGGTCCACCTGAAGCAGAAAGCCCGGACGGAGGAGAAGCTCAAAGGTTTGGGTTTCTTCTCAGTGGGTCTCTCTTTCGGGACACTGTGAAACCCCAGCCTGGGCACTGGGAGACGGCGATTCCCAAGGTCCCCCGAGCATCTCACGGGAGAGCCGGGATGGGATTATCCTCCTGGGGTGGCCCTGGAGAAGGTGATGGCAGATGGAGCTGTGCCAGTGAGGAGAGGGGCACGCAGAGGTGATGTCGCAGCACTGGACCACTGGCTGCAGAGGAGGGATGTGGCAGCCAAAGGTGGCACCCCCGGCCACCCAGAACCATCCCTGAACTGCAGGAACCGAGTCATTTTTATAGCTCCTATTCCAAGGAGCGGGGAAAAAAACCCATGTACAGAAGGAAATTCCCACCGAGATGGTGTTTTTATATACCCAAACCCATGGACGCCCTGTGTTTGTAGTGACCTGACGGAGATTCCTCCCGCCAGCGCTTCACGCGGAGCTCCCAACCCATTATTTACCGGCCGGTACGGTCGGGAGCTGCAGCTGCACCGGTCCTTTCTCCTGAAGGAGAGAGATGCCATTGGCAACCGGTGCATAACGGTCCCTTGGGAAAGGTGATGTCACTGTTATTATTTTCCTGTTTGTAAAAAAAAATCTATGGGAAATTTAAAAAAAATCATGTTTATTTTTCTAATTAAACATGGGAGCTATCGAAGGCCTTGCTGAGGTGGCTCCCTGCCTTTCCATCCTGATGCCAGTGGTATTATTCCTGTGGGATTTTGGCTTCTAGCTGCTGCATCCAAGGGGAGAACGGTGCTTAAATAATTATCAGGGAGAGAAAAATCAATCAGTGCAGCGGATGGGTTTGTGACCCTCCTCCAGAGCATCCCCAAACCCCTGGGACGGGTGGCTCATCCTGGGGGTGGGACAGAGCGGAGAAGATATCCCTTCTCCCTGGCGGTGGGTGCCCCTTTGAAAAGTGGGATGTGAATCTGGGTTTATTCCGACGGGGCTGAGCCCAGCAGGGATCGGCCCTGCTTGGCTCCAGAGCTGTGGGGACCCCAGAGACCCTCCCCCCGGTCCTGGTCCCCGGGGGGGTGGGGTTGCCCCTGGCAGGCATCACCCGCAAGGAACAGGGTGAAGCTCCACTCCCCACCTTCAGCCCGGCACATCCCCAGGGCTGGAGAAAATCCAGGCAGCATCAGACAGAGGCAGGATGCGAAGCCAGGCGGGGGGCTGTTTGCTCCCTCCCTTTCGGTTTTTGGACAGCTGAGAGATGCTGTTTCCCTTCTCCCAGGACCCATCAGCAGCCGGATGGCTCAGGAGGAGATTTTGCAGCTCGGAAGGTGCTGCTGAGAGCAGAATCTCCCTCCTCTGGCAGCTAAAAGCCAACCCAAATCCCCAAAACATCCTTCTCGCAGGAGGTGCTCACTCCGAGGGGACGCGCTGATCCTTGGGTTCGACGAATCAGGGAGGAGAAGGTGCCTGTAGGAATGGAGGGAGCTGGGAAGTGGGGATGGGGCATCCCTGGCTCAGGCCTTGGGGAATTATTGGCCTTTTCTTGCAGAGGGGGAAACTGAGGCAGGGAAGGACCGCTGTGCATGGCTGCAAAGCTGCTCTCTCCCACAGAGTTTTATCCCCTCCGCCAGCCCTGGAGAGGGGGGATCTGCCCCACATGTGTGTTATGGAGGAGGGAGGGCTCCTTCCCCTGGTCCCCTGGGCTTGTGGACTGGAGCATCCCGAGGCTACACCTCAGTTACACCGTTATCCTGGCAAAATCCACTGTCCAGCAACAAGCTTGGGGCGGAAAGATCCCATGGAGAGAGGTTGGGGAGCTGGGCAGGGGATGTGGGGTCCCTGTGGGGCCAGGAGGAAATCAGGATGATGGTGAAATCCTAAATGTCCTCTCAGACCTGTCCCTAAGGGCTCACCCCTCCAACGGCACCTTGGGCACCCACCGCCCCCGAGCACTGCTGGCCCCCAGTGCCTGAACCATCTCCCTGGCCGCACGGTGGGATGCAGATGGCACCAGGAAAAGCCCTTTTTTTGGAGAGGACACCCCAGATGTCATCGATGACCTCAGCGCCCTGGTTTCCCTCAGGAAGAGGTGTCTTGCGGGCACCTCTCTGAGGGATGTCGGCTCTCGCTGGGCAGTAAACAGCCCTGCTGCCCCCGTGCCGCGGGCCATGCACGAGGACTTTATTAACACCCCCCGAAAGTGCGTCCTGTGTTGATGCTGAGCCTGAAAGCTCTGCAGAGGCTCCAAGGCCAGAGCCCTTGCCCCCTGCACCCCCCCGGTGCTGCCAAGGGAGGGTGGGAGGAAGGGGGGCACACATGATGGTGGGTTTAGGAGAGGAGGAGCGGCTGCATCCCCAAACCTGGGGCTGATCAGAGTGGGGACAACCATCCTTCCCTGAGGCCAGAAGCATCCTGGGCCCAACGCTGACATCTTCCCCTGTGTCACCATCGGAGACAAGAAGACACAGCAGTGCTGCATGGTTTCAGCACTGAGGACCGAGCTGGGGTGACTGGGGATTGTATTGGGACCACGGCAGGGATTAAGCCGGGGTGATCGGGGAACGGATCAGGACCAAGTTGGGGACCAAGATGGGGTGCTCGGGATCTTGATCAGGCCAAGCCAGGGCTGATCAGGGACCACATTAGGACCAATCCAGGAACCAAGCCAAGGTGCTTGGGGACCAGCTGGGGACCAAGCCAGGGCGCTCAGGGACTGGAGGAAGCCAAGGATTAAGACGGAGTGATCAGGTACCAGATCAGGACCAAGCTGAGGGCCAATCTGGGGGGCTCAAGGTCTTGATCAGACTAAACCAGGGATTAAGCCAGCTGGGGACCAAGCCAGGATGCACAGGGACTCAAATCAGGAACAAGGCAGGAATTAAGCCAGAGTGATCAGGGACCAGACCAGGACCAAGCCGGGGTGCTCAGGGTCTTGATCAGACCATGACAGAGATTAAGCCAGGGCTGATCAGGGACCAGACCAGGACCAAGCCGGGATGCTCAGGGACCAGACCAGGACCAAGCCGGGGTGCTCAGGGACCGTCTCAGGACCAGGCCAGGGTGCTCAGGGACTCAAATCAGGAACAAGGCAGGAATTAAGCCAGGGTGATCAGGGACCAGACCAGGACCAAGCTGGGATGCTCAGACACCAGACCAGGACCAAGCCGGGATGCTCAAGGACCAGACCAGGACCAAGC